CTGGAATCAAATTTTTGTTATTTACATATGTATACATCTCGATGTCAAAATGATCAATTAGAGGTTTTTCAACATTAAAACAAATTTTTCTGATGGATTTTTGAGGTGCATCTTTAATTCTACATTTTAAGGTTGCAACCTAATATAAACTTTTTCCTACTTTAAATGCTTAATTAGCAATCTTTGATCTCAGAGTCAGAGTTCATGATTGTCTCTAAGAGGAAAGGGGACCAGCCACTTTTGAATTTAGCACCTAATCTTGTTCGTCTAATAAAGTAAACCAGCCATTGTTGAATTAAGAATCTGAATCTGGTTGTGGTTATGCAGGAATTTTGCCATGTACCATATTGATACCTGGTCTTTTCTTCATACCTGAGTCCCCGAGGTGGCTGGTAAGTCTTGCACATGTAAATTGCAAACTTGGAATCTTTAATTACTTCAAATTTGTTGGTCTTACTGGTACATGGCAATATAGGCAAAAATGGGTATGATGGAGGATTTTGAAGCTTCATTGCAAGTTTTGCGGGGCTTTGATACTGACATATCCCTTGAAGTGAATGAAATAAAGGTTTACTGAGCCCTTCGTTAACCTCATTGCCTGCTTGAATGTTTCCTTTGAAATGATACATATGGAGAAGTCTTTTAATTATCTCAACGATTATTTTTATCACTTTCTGCAGAGAGCCGTAGCGTCAAGCAGTAGAAGGGCTACGATACGATTTGCTGAGCTGAAAAGGAGAAAATATTATATGCCTCTGATGGTACTTTGGCTCATCCAAGTTTACTACTAGTGTTTACTAGATGGCTATGACTTCTTAATTGCAGTTAGGGCTTTGGGTCTCCCATTGTTGCACCCATCTTTGTTCTTCTTTTGATTAATAGTTTGGGCACTCTAGGTTGTGTATTTGAATCCCGTGCTTGCTAAGATGAAAGCTTCAATTTTTGTTAGAAATTGTAGATAGGTATTGGAAGGTATCATTCTCATCAATCTTCTGTGTGAACTTTGCTTGCATTCTTTTGCAGATAGGCATTGGACTTCTTGTATTGCAACAGTTGAGCGGAGTCAATGGAATACTATTTTATACAAGTAACATTTTCAAGTCTGCTGGTATGCTTCGAATTCATGAATATAAACAGTTAAAAAAATAAAATAAAAAAAGAGGAGTTTGATCTCTTGGAATTGTGTCTCTATTGTGGTGAATGGTGAACAAGGCCTACCTACCGAGTTAAGATGCTGTTAGGGCATGTGCAACTTTGACATGGTTCAATAGTTATAGATGGTGATGCACGACATATTGAAGTTGGTAGTTCCCAAAGCAGTGAAAGTTGCTGAAGTATATCTATTGAAAAAAATCTACTTGCTAAAATTTTGAACTTGTAAACATAAAACTTCTACATATCTCTGCAGCTTCATGATTTTTATTGTTTTCCATGGAGTAGGATGTAGGTGGCAAATAAAGTATGAGAAGTACGGGGATGTAAGAGTTAGGTTGGTTTTCAGTTATTTCGAAAACTGGAAGGGTGAGGAGGGTTCTATGACTAGTTTTAAGGGGATTTTGTGAGGTTTGGATGCACTTTTAAAAATGAGTTCTGTGATTCTCTAGATTAGAATGTGAGAATGTACCTTAATATATTTATTTTGTGCTTGCTAGATTTATCAAATTAATTTATAAGACTGGAAATTGGATTTGCTTCTCCACCTTCTGTCTTATTGTATGATTCATCATAAATGTAGTGCTTCTTATGGTTCTATTTTCTTTTCCCAATTTTTGGTTTTGCCGATCTTTATTTTTATTTGATGCTTTCGTTATGAGCAGGAATCTCATCAAGTGATCTTGCAACTTTTGGAGTCGGGGTTATTCAGGTCAACTTCATGTCTATATTTCTTAAATCATATTTAATCTTCTGCATGGAAACTACAAGTTTCAGTGTGAGATTTTGCAAACTAGGAGGTTTTTTTTGATGTAGGTTATTGTGACTGGAGTCACCACTTGGTTGGTGGATAAAGCAGGCCGTCGACTACTACTTATTGTGAGTTATCTTTGAATGGTGACTGATTTTGTGGACCAAGACTACCATAACTTGTTTCTTATTTAAACGATCTGACTTGAGAAATATTTTTGTGTAGATTTCTGGTTCCGGAATGACAATCAGCTTGGTCCTTGTCGCAGTTGCATTTTATTTGAAGGTCAGTGAGCAACTACGATAAGGAAATTGTACTGTCTATCTCCTGTATATACTATGGGTACAGAACTGGATCATCCGCCTTCCATTCCTGATGATGGAAGGTGGAAATTAATTGATTTTCTCATTAAGTACCTTAGTATGGTTTATCCTTACTTGTCTGTCATTGCAAAGAAATGGTGGATAATCCACCTGTGTATCATACCTTACCTGAGCTCTGTCTGGTATACTTTCATATCCTGTTACAGCTTCTGATTTTCATGCATGTCAGAAATTCAATTTCCATCAAAGAGTTGGTTGGACAGGATCCACTAATACATTTATTTTGGTAACTTGCTGTCCTACATTTTCTTAATGAATCTCTCTCTGTGGTGGCCAGGCTTTTGTATCAGAAGAATCTCGTTTTTATAGCTGGATGGGCATATTGTCATTAGTTGGTCTTGTGGTATGATTTATGCACATAATGCCTTCTTTAAATAAATTTGTGGTGTACCTAACTTCATGCATTTATATTTGTATCTTGATTCAGCTGATAAAAACTATTGTTTCAGGCATTTGTCATAGCCTTCTCTCTTGGTATGGGGGCCATTCCATGGGTTATAATGTCTGAGGTACTTAGCTATTTCCTCTGCTAACTTTTATTTCCACATAATTGAAATCTTTCTTGACCTGTAACGATCCTTAACCTGACAATAGGATGTGGGAAGAGCCGTAAGATTAGCTTTTACCATTTGGATTATAGCAAACTTGTTCCAATTCTACAGATGACAACATGACCATCTCATATCTTTTTGGTTTCGCTCTACTGGTATTAAGATTACCATAGTTGGTCTTAGATCTTTGAAGTTTTCTATAAGAGAGAATTGATTCTTATAAACAATTCCTGTGGTGCATTATATCTGATGGATGCCTTTCAGGATTTGTTTTTTCCATTCAAAATGAAATGAATTGAACATTCTGAAAATTTAAATTAGCTAATATAGAAGGATGAGAGTCCCATTGGGGTGAGTATTATTTCTCAATCAACTCAAAATCTTGGAGACCTCGTGATAGAATTCACAAAGTCATATAGCGAGTTCACCTGTAATATAAAGTACCAAACAATTGATTCATCTGATAATCTGTCAGGTTCAACAAACCATTGCAATGGTCATTTGTTGCTCCCTTTGCTTGAAAATAAACGGTTATTTGGACAAGCCATGGTGGCAGAACATAACACCAAGAGGCTTAGTCTGATATTTGACCTCCATTGTTCTAAAATGTGCATCCAAAGAAAACATCATTAGCAGACTTCATTCTGACGTTATATTCAAAAAAAGAAACGACTTCATTCTGACGTTACAAAGGCATGACGTGTGGGCAAAGTTTTGACATGGGCACCTACATTAGAAACACCAATTTCAAAATTGGCCTTTTAGGCACCACACATCCATCCATCATTGAGGGGGGGATTTGGGCAACTGTAGGTAACGTTTGGTAATTTTCTAGTGATAATTCAACTAAAAGTTTCTTAGTTTGTAAAGTGTTAGGCATGTATGTTGTGTCTTTGGCTTGTTGACATGTGCCAAGAGCCATGGACAGGAATGTCCAAGTGAAATTGGGTCACTCCTATAAAATAATGCATATTGGGACCTTACAGCTTACGACCTAGCAATATTAAACACCTACTTTAGAAAACGAGATGAACATTTAACAACTTACAAAAGTGGAACTTATTAAAGCTAGATAGACTTCTTTCTAATTATGAAGGTAGATCGACCATCATGTAAAGACGGTAAGGTTATCTTAGGAGACTCATAGTTATGGAGGTATGGATAAAGAGATGGAAGAGGAGGAGTGAATTAATAGGTGTCCAAGAACAAGGTGGTGGAATTTAAAAAGGGAGAAAATATACTTATTTAGAAATAAATTGATAAAAGAGGAAAAATTGAATTTTGAAGACAAAATTAATGTTATGTTGAATGAGATGGCTGATTGTATTAAGAAAATGTGAAAATAAGTTATTAGATAATCTCGAGGGCAAGACATTTAGATATGGAAAATTAGTTATGGAGTGATGAAGTTCAAAAGGTTTTTAGCTAAAATCAATTAAGTTACAAAACTTGGCAGTGGAGTAGAAATGATCAAAACTTAGAAGAGTATAAAGATGCTAAGGAGAACGCTAAGAAAATAGTAAGTAAAACTGACCTTAAGGCATATGGTGATCTAAGTTCTATGCAATAAATTCGGGACAAGAGAAGGTGAAAAAAATGTCTTTAAACTAGAAAAAATGGGAGAGGAAGTGTAGGGATCTGGATCATGTTAAATACATTAAGAGTGAGAATCAGAGGGTCTTGGTGAAAGTTATCGAGGTCAATGAAAGGTGGAGAATTTATTTTTAAATATTGCTAAGTACGACTGCTATGGGAGCACACAATTAGAGGAACCTTTGACATAAATGAGGTCGGAGGTCATAGATACATTTGTAGGGTTAGGATATTTAAAGTGAAAGTATGTGACAAACAAAGGAGTAGTATTGTCCTTGTCACTGCTCTTACATCCTTCTTGTCTGTTTCCATGCCTTACCCACTTCTGTCTTTAGTTTCTTTTGAGGACATAATTATATGTGGATGTTTCGATCTGTGAACTCACTTATACAAAGTTTACTTCTTTGCAGCATGTGCAGTTACTATAGCACAATGTTGGTGCTTCTGTAACACGAAAGGGGGTGTTAGTGACACTTCAAGTCTCTTACAACTACAACAGGTTAATCAAGAAAAGTAAACGTAGTCTTGATACCTGACTAAGAAGACTGGCAATTGTTCCTAGCGCTTGGTATGGGACCTTGGAATATTTACACAGCAGACCATCCCCTTTCAGCTCAACCGTCCCCTCCACCTTCACCCCACCTCTGTAACTTCCATAATTCCCCCATATAAACCTTCATGGTTTTTTGTTTTTGTGCAAGCCACCTCGCTTTTGTTTTCTATAGTATTCATCCATGTCCTTTGGCAATGAGTTCAACAAAAATGACAAAAATGTATTCGTTGTCTGTCAAAATGGAGATGGTCATGCATTTAAATGAGAAATGCAAAAATTCTATGGTCAAGATTTATATAGCGTACGAAACGCTACTGAAAATGTTTTGACATGTTTGCAAACCATGGAGTCAAAACTTTGGGCTGCAAAGGTTACAGAAAAGCATAGATCTATCTAGTCTTTTTTGATATATTATGAGCTGTGCATGCTCCAATTTTAATCAATGCAAATTGAGAGTGAAATCTTCCTGAACCTTCTAAGTTTAAGAGGGGGAGCGAAGGCCCTAAGAGGACTTTTAGTATGGTACCCTGGGTGAGATTAGATCCAGCTCTCTCTCCTTTAGAATAATAATGGAACAATCTCTTTCTCTACTTAAATATTCTTGTTTACTGTCATTTGTTCTCCTTTCAAGATATATAGAATGCAACATCAAAGTTAAGATATTGCCATGTCACAGACAAGACCTCTATTGAAGTCGAGAATATGAAAGACATTTGACAAACTGAGCAATAACTGGATTGGGACATTTTCTATACCAATAACTTGAGTGGCATATTTTTCTTGAAATATAGCTTGAATTGCGTGCTCCCTAGAACAAATTAACCAGTTTACCAGTGAGACTGATAGAAGTCTTACCGGACATAGTAAATTCAGACATACGTCCTATAACAATGATTAGGAACCCGTGTGATATGGATGGTTTGATTACCGTCTGCTATGGGCGGCAAACTTACCTTGGACCTCTTGCTGCCCTCTTGTTGTACTAAGAGGACAGAGCTTTAGAATGAGAAGTGGTTCTGAATTTACTATTTGTGGTCTTTAGTTATTGTGATTAGCTATGGCAATGAATTGAGATATACTTCCTATAACGATGATTACGAAATTGAGCGATATGGATGGTTTGATTATCATCTGCTCTGGGAGGCAAACTTACCTTGGACATCTTGCTGTCCTCTTCTTGTACTAAGAGGGCAGAGCTTTACAATGACAAGTGGTTCTGAATTTACTATGTACAGTATGTAGTTATTGTCCCATTGTCGAAAAATCTGCTTTATCTTCCCTTTGCCCCTACCAATGGAAGTGGTACGAGGTGAAATAATGATTCTTCTCTCCTGATTGACATCATGTCTAGAATATTTTGTAATACCTTTTTCTTTTGCTTCGGGGAGAAAGTCATCTATCTCAAACACACTCTTAGCTTTTACCCATAGAAAACATTTCTTTTAGGTGGGTGACATTATTTTTTTTGAGAAAGTTAACTTGTATTGATTTTAATGAAACACAAAAGTATGCCCCCAGGAGGGTGCACTATACAACAAATCAAAGTAAACCACCAAGCAAAAAATATGGGCAGGTGACGTTAAAGGCCATGTGTGTACACAAAAATTTACAAAATCAGGACTGCATCCAAAAAACTGCAGTGGAGGAGATTTACCTAACTGGGGGGTCTACAAGGGTTAAGAGCGGCTCCTCATCTTGCAGGATTGTTGGCTTCAAAGTTTGCTTCCAATGATTTCAAGAAACATTGATGTTGATGGAGAGATGGTGGATTTGATCAAAGATGTGGAGGAGCCTCCACGGACAAGCTGAGGAGTTTTTCGCCCATGAGATAACAATCCTTGAGTATCCTTCGGTAAGCAAATTTGGCTCCTAGTTGATGTTGAACAGCTTGAGGACCTCTAGGAGAGCAAGAGTTTCAGCTGTGGTGGAGTCAGCTAAGCCAATCGGGGAGGAATATGTGGAGAGGGATTCGCCTAAATAATTCTTAAAAATTCCTCCTATGTCCGCCTGGCTTGGGTTGCCAAGCGAACTGCGGTCAAAGTTTAATTTGGATTTCTCTATCTCGGGTGGCGTCCATAGAGATCCCCTAAAAATGCTGGATGGCGTCGGGTGAAGCATCTCATTCCAGTTGTGAAGAAAATTGGCGGAACTGAAAGTTCTGAAAGTGCTGCGATATGAGACCTAGAAAACGACAAGGGAAAGAATGTGGTTACTCATGTCATTCAGGCCGTATCCGGTCCCATAGAAAATATGGTGATTTCTCTCGATGTTTTCCATAGGAGGATCCTTGAGGTGGACCAAGGATGGGGCTGGAGGGAAGTGAAGATGTAGGGTATCGAGGGAGGGGTGACCCACCTCAATTGAAAGAGCCTGAGAATGGATCCCCACAGTTTGTGTGGTAATGCGCAGTGGAGGAGAAGGTGATCATTGGTCTCCTTGTCCTCCTGTCACCTAATACATCTGATGGGGAGAGGGATGCCTCTTTGCTCGAGTTGATTACGAAATCGAGCGATATGGATGGTTTGATTACCTTCTGCTCTGGGAGGCGAACATACCTTGGACCTCTTGCTGCCCTCTTCTTGTAAAGAGGGCAGAGCTTTACAATGTCAAGTGGTTCTGAATTTACTATGTACAGTCTGTAGTTATTGTGATTCCCATTGTCGAAAAATCTGCTTTATCTACCCTTTGCCTCTACAGCTGGAAGTGTTACAAGGTGAAATAATGATTCTTCTCTCCTGATTGACATGATGGCTAGAATATTTTGTAATGCCTTTTCTTTTGCTTCTGGGAGAAAGTCATCTATGTCAAACAC